CTTTAAAAATAGTTTCATATGATAGGAAATGTAGTGTGAGCCAAACCCCCAGGCTCCTATGATTAATGTGAGGATGAGGTTTTCCCTCACCATTAGTAGAACCCATTACATATTTCTGAAAATGACTAATATTTTATCTCAAATTGATAATTTGTTTTTAAATATGAATAAAAATGTCATTTAACTCTTAGTATAAATGTTTCAATAAAAGGAATATTAAAAATATGACTTAAATTTAACCTTTTTAGAAAAGTTCGCTATATTTGGTTAAAGAGAAAGTAAGAGTGCAAATACAAATAAAAACATGACTTAAATAAACGCAGTTTAAGGCTCAATTTGAAAAGAATGCAAAAATACAAATATGTATAAAACAAATATATACAAGATACATGGTCTTGCAGTTTGTATATTTGTATTTATACTCTTTTCAAATTGAGCCTAATTAAGACTGTATTTGTTTGCCATGTAAAACCTGACCAGTGGTAAAATAATACAAAACAAAAGGCTTTACACTCTACATATTTGTTGATTGTATTTGTACTCCTTTCCTCCGGACTGAGCCTAATATATATTTACTCGTTTTTTCAACCACCTTTATGAAATGATATTCTGGCCAAGAAACCGTACATCCTTTGCAACCTCAATCAAAGCTATGATCCTCTACAACCTCGACGAATCTACCTAATCAAAACCAGCGTTCCTCAGTGTTCAAGTCCTGAACGAACTGAGCTAATCGAAAGGCTTCTTGACTAACTCTGACACTAGTTTTGGAGGAGAACCGAAGAAGCGAGGATGTCTTCACAGCGTTTAAATTAATGGGGATTTTAAGATGATTGTCAGTGCCATTCCTCTTCACGACCACCCCTCTTTTCACAGTGAGACTCACTCATCATCTCTATTATCATGGTGAGAGTGTGAGACTCATCATTCTGTTCTCACGGTGAGACGCATCATCTCTGACCACCCCTGTTCTTCCCCTTTCGATATTTTTTTCAACTTCGGCCACCCCTACAACCTCCCTTAGCTCTTTCCCATCCCTGTTCTCCCTTTTGCATCCTTCCAACCAAATATAAACAATACAAACGCCCACATAAACCAGCTTAATTTTTTGCACTTTATGGAACCGCTTTATTTTGTATTTGCACGCACCCTCCAATTTTGCATTTGCACTGTAACTAAAACCCGCCTTAGCACTTCAAGGACCTTGCCCCATTTCACAAACCCCACATTTACTCCAGCTACTAGGTCATTAAAATCTAATGACTGAACCAAAACTATAAAATTTATTGAGCAGAATCTATTTAATGATTCATAAGCCGATTTGATGAGTCCAAACATAATTTAATAATTGCAGCATTAAACAGAAGAATTAATGATGAACAAAACCGACTCGAGCCATTTGATAAATTACGAAAAAATATAAGTACATTAGTACTATTTTCTATCATTCATTTGTATGATATATAGAAGAAAAAAGAGACACAAAGTTGACAAAAGTTCTTAAGGCTCAGTTTGTAGAGTGTAAAACCTTGTATTTTATATTATTTCGTATGTATTTATACAGTATGTATTTATATTTGTATTTTTATTAAACTAAAACTCAGTTTAGAAGAAATACAAATACAAATATATATGTAGAGTGCAAAACTTTATATTTTATATTATTTTTTATGTATTTACACTGTATATATTTTATATTTGTACTTTTTCCGTTTTTCCAAACTGAACCTCAAGGAGTTTAGATAAAATTTGTAAGAACGTTCCACTTTCCATTTCTCTCCTGTTTCCTATCAAACCTAACATAGGGAAATTCCTCGCTGCATGCTGCATCTACATTAGCATCCTTAGTGTGCAATTACAAATTAAACTGCCATGATTAAACAAGCCGATCCCAATGCATGTAATCCAGCATCAGCAATGGATCCGCCTAAAGGGTAACCAGGAGAGATGAAGAGTACACACACATTCTTTTAGAATACCAACCCATTTGAAGATTGTGAAGAAGTGATTGGTTTCTTTTTTTTTTTAATCCTAAAATTCCTGGAGGGTCAGCAATCTTCAAATTTTAGTAACCATATCTAAATTTGAAGAAGTGATTTGTTTATGTGAAAAACGACTCCAACTCATCACTTTAGGGGTGTAAATGGATCAAATTCAAATCAAATAAGGCAATATCCAAATTTGATTTGATATCCAACAGATAATGAAATTAATGTCTGAATTTGAATTTGATTTGATTCAAATTCAATCGATTAATTATTTTAGGTAATTAATAAATATATAAAATAAATATTTTATTTATATAAAGTATATTATTATATAAATTATTTGTATAATTTAATTATTATATATATAAATTATATGAAATATTTAAATATTTTATATAAAAATTAAATAATTGATCAAATTTAGATATTTATCAAATTGAATCAGGTCATATCTGAATTCAATTCGATTATGTCGAATCTCAAATTCAAAATTGAATTTTGGAATACTGTTGAGACCCCTAGTTTTCCCTAATGGAGCTTGAAATGTTGTTTGATTAAACCGTTTATCAAAGAAATATTTTACTCAACTTGCGTGAAAATCATATGTTAGTCATTTTTTCACTATTCAACTTATGCAACATCTAATGGTGCCTAAATGTCAAAAAACATCAAACATATTTTTCAAAAACTTTTCTCATTTTTCAAAATGCATGTTGTATAATACATTTTTTAAATAAATGAAAATAAAACTAAACAAGTAAACAGCCCCTAAAGATAAATGAGGAGGACGTAGCCCTCCTTCCCAAGCCCATAACAAGGAGCTCTCAACTTTACCCTTTCAAAGCCCACCCAAAGAAAACATTAAACCACATTACAAAGCATAAAAAGCATACAAAAATAGTCAATACACAGAAATAGGATATTAATCTCGTGTTGCTAAGAATATGTATGTTTGATTCTTTCGTAAGAATTAATAAGCAACCGACCAAGGATTAGAGATTATTCGTTTGTTGATTTGAACCAAAATCTCATTATCACTCTCTATATATCAACAATTCCATGATTGATGCATAAAAGAAGTCTCTCAAAGAAGAAAAAGAAATTCAGCTTTTGCATAGGCATAGCCATAAAAATCATAAAAAGTAAAACAAAAGGCACCAAAAGCATTTCACCAATTGAGTGGCTCAATTGGTAGGATTCTACCACAAAAAAAAAAAAGTAGGATCTCTGACTAACTAAAGCAGAATCATGGGATCAGATCCCGTTGCCATGGGTTTGGGGGGATGGGCTACCCCCATTGCATTTAATATTTCATAAAAAGATATGATCTTAAAAAAGGTATTTGGAATAGATACCGTTTTCTTGAAAAATGGTGCTATATCAATGTCATTTCTGAAACCTATATTTTTTTTTTTGAAGAAATGATCAACATTTGATTGGACATTCTTTTTCAAAAACATGTTTTCTCAGACCATACAATGAAAATCGGGAAAAATGTGGTATGAGAAAATACCATTTTTGACGTTTCTCGTTTTTATGGCAACAATGGTCCCCCCCCCCCAAACAAACGTCCGAGTTTAACAAAAACGCAAAATCTATTCCTATTTCTTCTAAACTGTAATAAACCTAAGACCCCCCCCCCCCCAAAAAAAAAGAATTTTATTTTATGAGAAAACAGTATACCTATACAATACTGTTTTCTTAAAAACGGAAAACAACACCGGTTCCAAACACCACCAAAAACAACTAAAACTTACTCAACCCCATCTGCTTTTAAGTCATGTGTCCAGTGCCCACTGTCCACAAGGGAGTGTTTTATTAATTATTTAATTCGTGACACAAGCATATAAATATAAGGCCTTCCTCATTTAACTATTTCAAGGAGGGGGGATGTTCGTTAATATGCGTGTTTTTGTTTTCGAAACAACAACAATTGCCGCAATCAGTTGTTGCAATTGATGCGTTGGTTTTGGTGTTAGATTAGGCTTTAAGCCTTTAACCCTTTGAGCGGACTCGGGCTGAGTATTTATCAAAATTTAAATGGGCCGGGGCCCTGAGGGCTGAAGGCCCATGCTGTGAAACAATGTGAGCTATGTCTTGATCGAATATCTGGGCTACATGATTTTGATCAGGACGGTGAACTTCCTCCAGTTGGACCAGCACCCACCCCTTTTTCTTGTATATGGTCGTCTGGGCCCACTTAACAGCGAGATAGATGGTTTGTTTGTATTTTGTAACGGGTGGTTACAGGAGATTAACTTGGCTTTTTGCCTGTTAAACCGTTAACGTGGATAATTTAACCAGGGATTCAGTCAACGGAAACAGATTCAGAAAGCACTTGCTTCGGAGTTCGGATGCTAGCAACTATAAATAATGAAGTCTTCTTTTGAAATTATTAAGCAGATCGTAACTAACTATTGTTTAATTATTAAGGGTTATTTATTAAAACATTTTCTATAGTTTTATGAATTTATTAAAACATACCTTGTAGTTTATGTTTTACTTAAACACCCTTTCTAGTTTTCGATCAATTTACTTAATCGATTTTTATTAGATGATAATAAAAAATGACAGTTTTTTAACCCTAATGTTTATTTGAATAAATAAATCAAAAAAAAATAAAAATAAAAAATATCATCTTTGTCCTTAATAAGATATGTGGGCAATCACTTTATTTGGCTCTTTTAAAATAAATTCTCATAAGCCCATGCCCTTTAATATTTTCTATTTAATTAGGAAAAAACAAACACTTCGATTAAATAAGTAGCTTGTAAAATACAAGCGATAGGGATGTTTTAATAAAATAAAAATTATAAGGTATGCTTTAAGTAAATTTATATAAATATAGGGGTATTCTAATAAATGACCCTTTAATTAATCAATCCATGCCTCGAGATTTAGAACTCCGTGAGGCGTGACCACGTTGAAAACGAGCTAAGCTTCCTTCGGAGAAACGTTATTAATACGTGGGAGCTGGCGAGAGAACAGTAGAGCAGCATAAGAAGAAAAAGAAGAAGCTTTGCTTTCATAATCCGTTTTCTTTAACAATAAGACTAAAACTCAGTTGAAGCTATATCTCTCCTCTTTCCCCAATCAATAGATGAGTTATGAACACTTCTCCACTGATCTTTGTTCGTTCTTTCTACAATGCAGATCGCCATTGTTCCTTCTCTCTTCCTTCTCCTCTTCTCACCGTTCTCTTTCGCAATCCAAGGTTTGTTAAATAAATCTGAAGAATTTTGGGGCAAGCTCTTATTGAATTGGTTTCTACTAAAACTAACAAAGCCTTTTTCTTTTTGTGTGTGGTTCAGGTTATGAACCAGTTCCGGCGCCGTATTCCGGTGAAGATGTCTGGACGGGATCGGTTGTACCCTCTCCATATGCAACAGTTCCATCTCTCCCACTAGCAAAGTCTCCAGAGCCCGGGGTTTACGAGCATGAAGACATATATGAAGGAGCTGATAGAACTCCGGCGCCAGCTCCGACAAAAGAAGAATATCCTCGAGAAGTTGAAGAGCCCAGCGAAAGTCCAATAAGCCCTTCACCGTCGTCGGAAGAAATTATTCTGGGAACGGTGAAATGGTGCGCGGTAAGAGATGAATATGTGGACTGCCAGTACTATATCAGCCTCCTAAGGCCTACCAATGGTTACATTTGGATATGGTATGGTTCATACTCCCTTACACTTTGGCAATTTTCCGGTAGTTGATGAATTACGAGTTGCTAATTGCAACTTTTCTCTGCGGCTTTAATTTACTCTTAGTGCATGGATCATGGATGGGGCACACCCTAAATTAGTCATTGTTCTGTAAAGTATAATTGTTATCTTACTATTGATGAGTGAGCTACACTCTCTTCCACCCAAATTAAACTAAACTAGCTACTCCTATTGCTAAGGTGAGGAAGCTAGCTTAGATCCTATTTTTCTTCTCTTCTATTATTGCCATCACTTGTGGTTTACCTATAATGATTAACTTTGAAGTGGCTTTGATTTATTATTCGGTCTTGATGAACACTATTTTCCTCTTGATCAGTGTGCATAAGATTGATGTCAACCCTTGTTGTCTTCTCTAATAATTGATGATCTTATTTTGCCACATTCTTTGTGCAGTGTTAGAAGAGAAACGGTTCAAGAATGTCTGGATTCAATTAAGGAAGGGGAAGCGGATTTAGTAAACTTAGATGCAGGCTTGGCTTATATTGCATTCATGAAATACTCAATGAAAGCCATTGCAAATGAAGTCTATTGTAATCATGCTGAAAGCTTTGATGCTGTTGCAGTGGTAAACAGGATGGTTTGTGAGAATAAAGGGAGTACTAGTTTGTTGGATTTCAAAGGAAAAAGGTCTTGCCATGGAGGTTATTCAACTGCCACGGGGTGGAACTACCCTGTTACTCATCTCAAACAATTATTTGATTCCGAAGAATTGAATGATAAGGAGATGGTCACAGAGTTCTTCTCTGGGGTTTGTGCACCTTCAGAATTTAAAGGGACGGGATTGTGTAGTGGGTGTGGGAACGAGAACGGATCATGTCACATGAGTAGCTTTTACTCGGGTCATGAAGGAGCATTTCGGTGCCTTGTTGAGGATTTAGGGGATGTTGCATTCGTCAGAGCAGAAACTGCATTACTCTACTCTATGGAGGGCCCACATAATCAGACATGGTCAACAAAATCCTTCAATGATTTCATGTGGGTAAATTAACTATGCACCATTTAATCTCATGATCTGATTTCTTTTTCTTTTGTTTTTGGGATGATCGATCTGATAGTTTTCCTTCTTTCCTGCAATAGGTATCTTTGTCCACAGGGAGGCTGTAGGGAAATCAATGGCTATCCTGGAGACTGTTCGTAAGTTTAGCCTACCTTTCACCTGAAAAATAAAAAGGAAAATGGAGGGATTTTTCAGATAATGTGCCATTCTCTTAGAACTGATTCTATTGAATCAGTGATTGTCCACTTAAAATTTTCTTTGGCTAAGTACATGTAGATTCTTAAAATGCATGTATCTGGTTGGAAAAATTAGGTGCTTGTGGTAGAACAGCAGAATGCCCGAAGTAGGATAAGGTTTAAATGGTGATCTTTGTGCCTGAGATACCTTAATAGTTAGTATCTCAACATGTTTGAAGGTATTGGCTTTTTTAAAATTCCATCCCCATATTTAAAAGTAAATATAAAAAAATTAAACCGTTCTGGAAATGAAGAATGTGGAATGATAAAATGATGAGTAGGAGTCTAGAAGATAATTTGAATATGGTGTAAGACAGAGTACCAAAAATGCAGTATTGTTATTACTAAGTAACCCCTTCCAGCCTTCCCAGCATTGTTTTATGCTTAAACCTTTAAGTTTCAAGTTACTATTGTTAATTTATCATTGATTTAGATAGCCTTTTTCCATCACCTCTTCAATGATTTTGTTTCTCTATAACCAGGTTTGGAACTGTTCCTGCAAATGTTATAATGACAAGTAACTACATTTCTAACGAGAAGAGGTTAGCAGTTTTGGATACCCTGATTAATGGAAGCTGGAATGATGTTCTCTACACAGGAAAAAATGGCGCTGGACACATGCTTAGTACCAGGTATGAGTATACTAAACAAGGAATCCTCACCCTTTTTCTTTCCTAGAGTTTTCAATAAGGAAAGGGAAGGGGATTATGATCTATCGTCCAATTGCTACTACCTTGGAGATCTCCATTATATCCAAACATAAATTAGCATAATGAGATTGGCCTAACCATACACTTGAGTATAATTATGTCAGTTTGGGCAGCTAGAAAATAATGACTAAAAGTTTGGTGGATGGAATGGTTAGGACTTCCTATTTTCTTGGTTTTTTCCTTTGTAGAGATATCCAGGGTGGGAAAATATATCGCCGGGTCTTACTCCCTTCATATATTTTTCATCACACTCCATGCATATGCAGCACTTCCCGTTATGCTATTGATATGTCAGGTCATTACAGTATACATTAAACTTGCCTTCTCCACACAATATGGAAGTTGAAAATTTTTTGTCAGATAAGAAATCCAGTTTAGGAGCAGATGAATCACAAACTGTAGAAATATTTTATTTAGTATATCCTTTCCTGTTAAATTAACATAATGTGGTAATAGTTACTTAAATTCAAGTGTTCAACTAATTTACCTGCAGTACTCAAGGATTAGCTGCAATCAAGAAAGTCACACGATCATACCTAGGGACATCAGCTTCCATTTCACAAAGCATACAAGAATTAAATACAGAAGATGCACAAGTCATCCCATATACAGGAAATTCAATTTCAGGTATGTAATCAATGTGATAGATTTGCATAAAAGATGATGAGATCAATCCTAATATCAATGGGGCACAAATTTCAGTTGGTTGATGTTTCAAGCAATAACAGGGTACCATGTTCTGTCTCAGTTCTCTGTCACCTCCAAAATTGCTCGTAGTTATAATAATCATGCAAGGAGGGGACTGGGGAGTGTAGTTCAGACTTCATCATGCCCAATTAATGTATCTAAAGCATTTGGCTGCTGACCTAACTGACTGGTTACATGCTTCTTTTTTGTATTAACAGATTCTCCTTCTTCATCATCGTATATTCATCATTCAATGGCTATCACTGTGTTCTTGATCATACTCGATCTCATGCTTTCAGCACTCTCTACACGAGGACAATGAAGATCATGGATGCTTTTATGTCTTTTAATGGAAATGTAATGAAAATTTCCACAAGATATTGCATTAGACGAGGACAAAGAGGTAGGGAAATAACTAAGTTACACAGTTCAATATATGCAGTTCTCATTCATTATAGATGATTACATGAAGTTGTACAGCCAGTTTTAATTAACAGTCTACAATCAAGGCAAAATCGATCTGGGGATAATAATGTCCCCAATGTTGTTGTGCCATGGATCAGCCAAGTGGGTTGCCAGATTCTCCAATGGTCCCGTTCCTGGGTAAGCCAACTGTTGGACGCAGAAGCCCACAAAGGCCAATAAAGCAAGACGTCCTGAGATAAGCGAACAAATAGAATGGTTAATAAAAAGTAAATGAAGATGTAGTATTCAATAAGGTAAGCTAAAGAGTCCAAGAACAGAACCATTTTTGATTTCCTTGATTTTGTATTCCTTGAATTTGACTGGGTCCTTGGAGTAGCCCAGTGGGTCAAAGGCACCACCAGGGTACTTCTTCTTCTCGGGGTCTTTCTCCATGCTGCGTTGGTGCTCCACAAAGGCGATCGCAAGGAACTCAATGACCAGGATGGTTGGGAGAGTGCCCCAAGGGACCGGGTTGCCCAGGTAAGTTGCTTGCCCACCAGGCACTGCAGCCCACTCCTGTGCCTTCACCCAGTTTCCTAATCCAAGTGCCTCTGGCACCAAGATCCCTGGCTGTAATCAGAACTCAGAAGGGCCAACAAATTAGTCTCTGGACTTCAAATTTTTTTTTTTTATTTCTAATGTTTAAAAAGAAAGAACAAACATAGACATGCAGAGAGCAAATTAACATGCATTGTTTGAGTTAACTAATCTGTTTTACGTATTTTCACTTACATTTGAAATTTTCATCATTTCTTTTATGCTGTGTTTGGTTTAAAGGAAAAAGTAGGAAAGGAAGGGAAATGTAGGGAATTACAAAACTTGTATAGGTTTCCTTACATTTTCCTTCAAACCAAACATAACCTTGTGTTGTATTTTTTCCCTCTTTGACGAAGGAAGATCGGACCAGACCAGATCTTTCAGGAAGGGGGAAAAACGAAAGAAAGTCGGCAATTGAAGTAAATAAACATCCTTTCTTTCTTTCTCATTTCCCCCTAGTTAATTTCCTCGGTTGGCTAAATGTTTTGTCTGTTAACAACCAGAAAGTTGCTGGGGAAAAAGGAAAGGAGCACATCTAATCTAGTAGAGTTAAAATTGAGTTTCTAGTATAAATCAACTTACCACTGCAAGCATTGCCCATCTGCAGTGAATGAGTTCAGATTCCTTGAATCTCTCGAGGTTTTCAGGGACTGCACCAAGTCGAAGAGGATCGAACCCATAGTCACTGAAACATAAAACGGGCAAAACATATGGAGATATCCACAGTTAATGTTTTATTACAAACTGCTAGCTAATTGGTTCAAATCCATTATCTCAAGCCAAAAAGAAAAGATCAATAGGAACTTAATATAAAAGAATCACGCTTTACTGAGTTTGTCTATCCACATTACCCTGGTGCGGAGCCATCGAGGTAGGGCGGGCGAGGCTGACCGGGCATCCATTCGGCAGACATGGTGAACCGCGAGGAGGCATTGGAGCAGGCACCTGGGAGGGAAACTGCAGTAGCGAACTTCGATTTAGAAGAAGAGAGGACAGACGGGAAAATGGCTGCAACACCGCAGCTCCTCAACGCGGTTGACGCCATTGCCGGAATTGAAGCTGCTTGTGGAGGATGACTAGAGGAAGCGGATGAAAGAATAGACCGTGCGAGTCTAGGGCTAAGCCACCGGTGGTAGTAGTAGAAGAAGAAGAAGATATAGGCGAATCTGGATATTGATTCTCATTGGCCAATAGAATTTGGTTCCTCCTTTGTCATTGGGCCAACTATGAACTCTCAATCCGTTCGACGTTCCACGTGGAATATTTACTGGATTAGGTTTCATTTATGCGGCCGAGGATGATTGCATGGCCTAAAAATCGGACAGGATTATATATCTGTTGGATATATTGGTTGGTTCTTACCCAAGATGCCCCTGTATCGGATATTTTATTATTTCAGACGTTTTGGTAATTTAGTATTGATAAATTGTCTAAAACTCATCTCATCATTTCTTTTAAATTCACCATAATATTTCAAAATATTTAAAATTTACTATATCACTAATTTAACCTTAAAGAGACTAATGGGTGTTAATTTATTATCATTTTAACCTTCATAAAAAATATAAAATATATACATATATTTTAATATTTAGACATGAGGAAAAAAGAAAAAAGTTTAAAAAATATTTTCAAATATAAAATACATAAAAATACAGAAATTATAAAAAAAATATAAAAATACAGAAATTGTACACAAAATAAAAAATTATTTTCAAATTATAGAAACTATAGAAATTGAAAAATAAAATCAGAAAATAAAAATTATAGAAAAAACACCAAAAATTATAAAAAACACAGAAATTGCAAAATAACAAAAAATATAGGAAATTTTATAGATTGTAGAAAATAGAAAAATGTAAAAAAAAAAACAGATTATAAAAAACATTGGATATTATAACAAAACACTAGAAATGAAAAAAACAAGAAAATTGAAAATTGAAAAAGACCCTTTTCCTCTAACTCCTGTTCAATAGTGATTTGGTCATAAAAATTGTTATTTATGATAACGTGGACGCCTCTATTAAGAAGCATTAACGGTATACTAACGGAATGTAAGTTTTGGAAAATAAAAACTTACTGACATGGTGAATTTTTCATATTTTGAAAAATTATGATGAGTTTAAGAGAAATGCCGAAAACTCATGATGAGTTTTAGACAATTTTCTTTTAGTATTTATGTTTAGGATAAATTTTTTAACTATTTATATTGTTTTAAAATATCCTACTGTTTATATATTATTTTAAAGTATCGGACTCTTTCTAATAATTGACTAATTTTTCCCCTACCAGGGTTCGTCACAATATGTCATAATTCGCTCAACGTGATTGTTATATTTTAAAAAATGACAATAATATTCCTTTCTTCACTCCTATGCCCAATGTTTGTTATCTGAAACGTGGGGGTGCCGGTGCCTACCGTCTGAACTTGCAGAGTTGCTCTTCTTCTCAATATCTTTGATTTAAGGAGAAAAATGGCGGTTTTCGTCCAAACTAAGCATGTAACTGATCCCCTCAACGACGAGGTGGGAGATTGTCAGAGATTGTGCCGGCCGAAAATGCCACCGACGCCGAGACCTGATTTCTCTCGTACGGTCCTCAGACGCGGTCAAGGCTCGGTGGGTCAAGAGCTACTTCCATGAGCTCGTTTGGGAGTGAACGCCAGTCTTCCTCGCAAGCCATTAATCTAGGTCAAGTTCAGCCCAAGCGCCCACTCATCGCACGATCTACTGTAATGATCGAGAGAAGACAAGAAAGTCGTCGGAGGGTCGCCATGTCCTCTAACGCGGTCATCGCACGATCTCTTTCACTTTCGTCGTGTTGTGTCCATCTCCACCATGTCCTTAGACTCTCTCTCTCTCTCTCTCCAATCTGCAACTACCGAGTTCTCAACCAAAATGGTTAATTTCGCCCAACGATTTCCCTGTGCCGTGTCCTCAACATCGTCGTCATCATCCATTGACCGACAAATCAGAAGGCAAGGGTTTAAGGAGTTCTCGCACCTGCTGGTGTCAACCGTGGAAACCCGACTTGGGTTGCAACTCCTGCCGGATCCCCTACCCCCAAGACGCGTGCAGTATTACTAGAACGCCGCCGGAACTTCTCAAAGTGTGTTTCACATTAGAGTTTATCAACCAAATTCCGACATTACAACCCCAGCCATATCCTGGATTGAGGGGAAGAGGGGGAGAGGAAGAAGAAAAAACAAAACTCGGGAGAAGGAACTACTGCTAAGTTTAAGGTGGTGATGAAACAGGGGAAGTAAAGGAACGAAGGAGAAGAAGGAGAGAGATCCTTCCAACCCACCAGCCATTGTTGTGGAAGGCGCAACTTCGTCAAAACAGGGAAATCAGACTTAACGTCAGGAGGGGCGGGTGGTTTTATCTTGGAGAGAATGCCAAAGGGAAATCATCAATCATTTGAACACGGCCACATTCTCACTATTCCTTAAATTTGCTGCTGTAGAGAGAGAGACTATTACTTAAATTTGCTGCTGTAGAGAGAGAGAGAGAGTACCTCAGGTACCACCGTTGTTTTGGTTGGATAATTTTTATTGCGCAGATGAGTAGCGGAAGAGGATCCTGACGCGGTTGATTGAGAGAGAAACTCAAATGGGTTGTAGGGGAGAGGTTGATTGAGAGGTTGGGGTCTAATACGGCTGAAGGTCATGCGTGTAAGATTCTTTCCAACCCATACCTATTTCAATGCAAAATCTTAACTGAAGCGTTCTTCAAGATTCAATGGCTACCGATAACGACAGTGAAAGCGTAGTGGTCGTCCTTCAGAGCCTCCTGCTTGGCCTCCTCGGTAACTTGAGCAGCAATTGAATCCTTTTTCTCTTGTTTCTTCCATTTCTTATCGGATACAGTGGACCCGAAAACAATCTATGGTCAAGTATTGGAGAACGGGTTGTAGGGGAATGTTAGCATTTTCCGGCCGGCTATGCCGGTGTTCGCCATGCAGTGCAGGTCCATCGGGTTCGACGTTGTGTCTGATGGTACTGGTGGCATTTTATCCGGCCGATGACAATTTCTAAAATGGTTTAGCTTTAGTTTTTTTTTTTTTTTTTCATTTGAATTAAAATAAAGGGCAAATTTGATATTTCATTTTTTACTTTAGCATTCAATAATAATAATAATTGTCAAAAAAAAATAGGGATACTTTATGAAAATATATACACAATAAGGATTGAATTTGTCAATTAGATAAATAATAGAGATAGTTTAAGAAATTTGTCCCTTATTTTTATGATTTCAAGCTGAAGCGGGTTATACTATTGAATTTCTTAACTTTTAGCCTAGCTGTTACAAGTTCGGAAGTTATTATTCATTTGGGCGATGTTAGAGCTGTCAATGGGTCGGGTATATCCAATAGTTCCGAACCAATTACGTCAGTTTTGGTTTAAAATTCTACCCCGTTGGATCGGTTTTGGTTCTTTATTGTGTATTCCGATTATTATTGGTTTGGGATTGATTTTGACTGTCCCAAATCGATTAAATATTCAATAATAAGACAAGTACTTGTTATTATCTTCATAGCTTTCATGGCATTCTTGAACTTGTATATAGTAATGTCTATAATTGTAGCAGTTTTTATCAGTTTTTACAAAAAACTACAGATTTCAACAGTTTTTAAATATTCTTTATTTACAGGTCATTGAATAAATTGTTCTTTGTTTATAAAAAAAAAATTACAGATTTTAACAGTTTTTAAATTTAATCAGTAATAGGGTCTGGTTCGGTGCTGGGTCTATTGATTTAACAATCAGTTCAGAACGGTTCTACCTTGTTCTAAACCAGACCCAAACTGTTGACAACCCTAGTAACCCTTCAAACCCCTTCTAAGTAGAGATTCGATATTAATCAGTTATTAATGACCCCCTTGAAGTTTTTAGTTGTTGCTGAAACCTTTAATGAAGTTTGGTAATTGTAATTATCTCCCCTGAACATTCTGACATAATAGTTGTATGTAAACGCCATCTGTTTCCTCTCAAAAGATGGATGAAAATATCCAAAAATACTCATTCAGTTAATTATCACCAAAATGTTTAGTTTCCAAATTTTTTCATATGAGTCCACGGCTCAAATCCTTCCAATCTTTTTGTCTGAAATTGATTTTTTTTTTAAATTTGCCCTTCATATCAATTGCTCAACATAAAGCTGCAACTTTGAATTCTATACTTTTTTTGTTCTTTATCATGTTTGTTTTGCTTTTTATTAGAAGTCGGCCTCAATTGTAATTATCACATGGGTATTTTAGACATTTCTATGCCTCTTGTTAGAGGATTTCTAACGGAAGGGCTGAAGGGGTCTACTTGCAACCATGTCAGGAAGTTCAAGGGAGGTAGATGCAATTACCAAACTTCAAGGGAGGTTTTAGCAATAACTAGTAACTTCAGGGGAGGTTTCAACAACAATCAAAAACTTTAGGGGAGGTTTTAGCGATTTACCCTTGGTTTTTAAATGTTAATTCTAATTTGCAGCATATATGGAAATCACCTTGGAAATACCAAAATAGGGAGGGCAATTTTCCCCATCCCTAGCAAGTCCCAACTTCCCCGACCTGATGGGATTAGGGATGGGGATTGCTTTGGCGAGGTGGGGACGGGGATAAGGATTAATAGGGATCCCTGACTGGGGTGGGGGTTAGGGATGGGGAATGAGATCGCCACCTCACCCCAACCCCAAATATATATATTAAATATTATTCATAATAAATATATTATTTATATATCAAAATATATTTAAAATAATAATTATATTTTAAAAAATATATTTATTTTTAGTAAATTTAGAAATATTGTTAACTAAAAATTTGGGGATTTGGGAATTGGGGTCAAGAATGGGGAATATGATCCCTGCCCAGTTGCCATTCCTACTTGGAAATTGAAACCAACCTAAAGCAATGACATTGGACCCAATTTAGGAAAATAGGGCTGCAATTTGGGTGGGCTTAGATTGGCCATTTGGAAAATTTTTGAATGTGTCTAGGTGTAAATTCATCCAATCAGATAACCGACTTTCATCCCTGAAAACTACTATTTTTCTCTGTTCTTGGGGATTGACAAGGAAATTGAGACAAAAAGTCGTGATTGTAGCTTTTCTACAATCCCAATTCCTATCC